TTTTCGATAAACTTGTTAAGAAAGTCATTTTGCATATAATAAGCTATCAGCTAACAACTAATTTACCAAACACCTAATGCTATCAACTAATCAAACCCACCAACTCAATCAACTTACAACTATTTACCAAACTTCCCCAATGTTACAAGATGGACTCAGCCTATTAGCCTTCTTGGACTAGGCCGATTTACTTCCAGGTGGTCTTTTGCCAGCTAAGGTCACTAGGCAAGATTTACCCATTACACACCCTCGTGTTGTGTCTGTGGGTTTCCCTTCATCACCAAAAAAAAAAAAAAAAAAAAAAGCATGCAGGAAAGGGAGAAATGGAGGTTTACCAGCAGAGGATTCAACGGCAGAAATCCCAGTATTCTCCATTTAATGTAACAACCTTGACAAGCTAGAGTTCTTGAAAGAGGACACTCTTTCTCTTGTATCCCTGAGATTCCAATTACGCACTCTTTCTCTTGTTTTGAATGCAGATCAGACCAGCCAATTCTTGGAACGAAAGAGAGAGTATATATAAAGTTGGTGAAGAAAAAGTTACAACGTTGACAAGGAGGTCTTGCCTGACAGCTAAAATTAAACAGAAAAAGACAATTCAATTAAACTGAATTTGTATTATTTACACAACGTAACTATATATATATACGTTCCAATATATTGACTATTATTGTATCTTTATGTAGTAAAGCCAAATATATTTCTTTGTTAAATTTTGGAAAAATTACAAATTTAGTTCCTAAGTTATAAAATAATTGTAAGATTCATCCTTGTTGATTGTGCTCACTTCAAATTTCGTCTTTTTTTTTTTTTCCTAAGCTAACAAGCCATGCTTACTTCTTGTCCGCAAACTATAAGACCAAGGACAAAATTTGTAACGTGAGTTATAGATTCGGGATGAGAAATGAGCACATAAGTAGCTAGAGTTTGGACATAGCTAACATTAAAGAAGAAAAAGACAATTCAATTAACAAACTGAATTTGTATTATTTACACAACTATATATACGTTCCAATATATTATACTATTATTGTATGTTTTATGTAATGCCCTTAAATTTTGAAAAAATTGCACTTTTAATCCTTAAGTTATAAGATAATTGTAAGATTTATTCTTATTTAATGATCGTGCTCACTTCAAATTACGTTTTTTTTTTTTTTTTCTAACAGGTAGTGTTCATTTCTTGTCTCGAAATTATACAAAAGATGAAATTTGTAATGTTAGTTATAGTTTCAGGAAGAGAAATGAGTACAATTAACAAGTAACTGGAATTTGAACATAGCTAACATTGAAAAGAAAATGACAATTCAATTAACAAACTAAATTTGTATTATTTACACAACTATATATACGTTCCTCTCTCTCTCTCTCTCTCTCTATATATATATATATATATATATATATATATTAATGCTCATATGCGGTCATGTTGTTAGGTGCGGCCTTATCCTTGTCGTCCAATTAGCTTAATCTAACGGTGGTAGTAACTTCTGGATTTTGGAAAGTCCAATTCGCGTTTATTAAGTGGGGGGTGTTATGGTAATTATAGTGGCCACTTGACAAAATACATAGTGTTAGGAAAAAGCACAACAATGAAATGTACAAATACACCAAAAAAATACACAACACACTCAAAAAATACACCATATAACTATCCACCCCTAATGGTGTATTTTCAAACACTGTGTGGTGCTTTTATTCATATGTAAAGGTGCATTTTTGGTGATGCGTACCTAATTTGAGCATGCTTTTTGCTGTGGATTTCATAACATGGATGGTGTCTATTTGTATAACTATTGGTGCGGCCGCACAGGAAGGCGCTGCTGCACCTGAACTTGGCACCAAGGGAAATCTACAAATACACCAGAGTAAGGCTAATAATGCACCAATTACACAAATATAACACGCAACAATGTGATCTTTCCTATCCTGGTGCCCTATGACAAGTTTATCCTTGCAGTTCGCTTTGTAGGAGAACGTGCGCGAAAATATTGGAAGAATCTTGATCAATGTGATTCATTGGATCTATCTAATCTAATGGGCTGTAGTTAGCCGCATGGCCGCATGGCGGAGATGGGCCACACTTGAGCAGGGCTCTATATATATATATGGCAAATTATGTCGTGAGCACGTGCCCACCTTGCAAGGTGGGCACGGTTTAATATCCATAATTTTCATACTATATATTCATAATTTCTATACTGTAGATCTATATTTTAGATTCATAAAATTTAGGGAAAATTGTATCTTTAGTCCCTGAGTTATAACCAAGTTCCGACTCAGTCCCTATGTTATGGCAGTATCCGAATTTAGTCCCTTAGTTATGAGCAAAGTGGCGAGTTTGGTCCCTAGCGTTGATATTCTGTCTGCAGCTAACGGAAAATTTAAAAACAATTTAATAATAGAGGGTTAAAATAAGAATTTCAAATTATAATCCCCTTCTTATGTTGAAACTCATTGCATAACCGTCATTATTTTCTTCTTATATCTAACGGAAGTGGGAGATTTCAGAGCTTGGGGAAGAAAAAGACCTTCAATTGTAGGTATAAGAAGAAAAGAATATAATGACTGTTGCACAACGAGTTTCAATATAAAAAGAGGATTATAATTTGAAATTCATATTTTACACACACATATATAATTTATCATTCATCGAAATTTAATTAAAACATAATTAAGTATTAAATTAATATATAATAATTTTAATAAAATCATAATTAAAAAATAGGAAAAAGATATGATAGATATAGGTGTATGGTAATAATGATGTGTTATCAATGTTAAAATTAAAGACCAATGGTGTTATAACGGTGTAAGGATAGTTTTGTCTAATAACAAGAGAATGTACAACATTTAAAGTAAAATGTACACATTTATTTGCATACAAAAAGAGGGACATAAATCAAGGATATAACCTTAATTGAGGCTTATTATGCTTTGAGATTTTAATTAAATTAAATTATTTAAATTAAATCTCTCTCTCTCTCCCTCTCTCTCTCTCTCTCTTTATATATATATATATATATATATATATATATATATATATATATGTTTAGTATTACAAATGATCATCCTTAATTAAATTAAATCATCCTTAATTAAATCAGCCTATATATTTAGTATTACAAATAATTATCTTTAATTAAATTAAATCATCCCAAATTATTACTATAATTACTATTTACTATAATAATAATAATAATAATAATAATAATAATAATAATAATAATAATAATAATAATAATGATAATGATAATAATATATTATACTATAATAACGAATTTGCCAATTTATAAATAAATTCATGTAATTTAAGATGTTGAGTAAAAGAAGAATATAATATTAGTTGTTATTATTATTATTATTATTATTATTATTATTATTATTATAATTATAATTCGTTATTATAGTATAGTATTTTAATTAAATTAAATCACCTTATATATATTTACTATTACAAATGATCATCCTTAATTAAATTAAATCATCCTTAATTAAATTATTTAAATTAAATCAGCCTATATATTTAGTATTACAAATAATCATTCTTAATTAAATTAGATCATCCTTGATTAAATCATTTAAATTAAATCAGCCTATATATTTAGTATTACAAATAATCATTCTTAATTAAATTAAATTATCCTTAATTAAATTTAATCATCCTTAATTAAATTATTTAAATTAAATCAACCTTAATTTAATCAATCCTTAAATTAGCAAAAAAGTAAAAATAATACTGGAGATTCCAGTTGCTTTCCGGTGTTCCATTAACGATTTCTGTTCGTCAGCGACGTTGTGTGCTCCATCATCGGCCAACCAATGCCGTCGATGCATACTGGAGAGCACGACGAGGCAGCGCTGCATGAGAAGGTGGACGAGGCAGTGTCGCGCCTTACGCAGAGGTGGGCGGACCTGGTGCTCGAGGAGAAGGAGGAGGTGGCTGGTTTCGAGCCGGTGGGAGATGATGTCGGAGTGGTGGCAGAGGAGGATGAGAAGCCGTAGGTATGCGTGAGGCGTTTCTTGACATCCAAGGTAATCAAACTTGAGTACATGCGGCAAGTGATGGCTTCGATATGACGGCCGGTTTGGGGGATGCAAGCTACGGAGATTCGGCCAGGCGTGTTCATGTTTATCTTCTTCGATGAAACTGATATGCAGAGGGTACTCGATGAAGGGCCATGGTCGTTTGATAATAATACTCTGGTTTGCCGGCAGATTAAGGCGGGGATTTGGCCAGGGGATGTTGAGCTTATCTCCGTGGACATGTGGATACAAATGTATGATCTTCCGGTGGGCTATATATCAGATGTGGTTCTTGAGCAGACATGGGTCAATTTTATTGGTACATTTGTTAAGGTGGATGATCGTTTTGCCGGGGCATCATGGAAAACATTTCACCGGGTCCGTGTTTCGATCCCGGTTGACAAGCCCCTAAAAACAAGGATGAAACTAATCAAAAGGGACAAGACAAGCTACTAGGTGAATTTCGATACAAGTGCCTGCATACCTTCTACTTCTATTATGGTATGTTGGGGCATTCGTATAAGTTTTGTAAGCTGGCAAGAAGGTCGGGGTTGACCCCGGATCAATACCCATACACGGCTGAGTTGAAGGCTCGGGAGGGGGGGGGGAGCCGTGGTCCGCGACAGGTTGCCGAGCCGTGGCTTGTTCCGTTGGATGGGAAGGGGAGGGATGTAGGGGGTGTGGATGGGAAGGTGGTGGTGGCAGGTACAGGTGGAGGGGGCGGTGCAGCCGGAAGGAGTGCGGGAAGGTGAGGGGTTGGGGGTGGTGGCGGTTTCAAAGAGGAGGAGGGAGGCTGATGGTGATGTGATAATGACAGAGGTGCCAAAAAATGGGTTTGCGGCGGGTCCTGTGGTTCAGGCCCGCCCTTCATCATGAGTATGATAAGCTGGAACTGCCGTGGTTTGGGCAATCCACGGACAGTTCGAGAAATAGTGGACCTTGTGTCCTGAAAGAAGCCCGAGTTCGTCTACTTAATGGAAATAAAGGTAGGACGAATTCATGCTGAAAGGTTACGTATAAAGATTGGTTTTGAAGGCTTATTCTATGTGGACAGTGTAGGTGTGGGGGGTAACTTGGCATTATTATGGAGGAAGAATAACACTGCTAGGCTATTGAGTTTCTCGAAGAACCATGTGGATATTGAGGTAGCTATAAGGGATGAGGTATGGCGTATGACATGTTTTTATGGGTTTCCACAGCGGAATAGGCGGAGGGAGGCCTGGCAATTGTTGAGTGGTTTGAAGGGTAGGTCTACGCTGCCATGGGTAGTACTGGGAAATTTCAATGATCTCCTATATCAACAGGAGAAAAGAGGGGGAAATCCACATCCGGATGACCTTTTGCGAGGCTTTGGGGAAACATTGGATAACTGTGGCCTAATCCAATTACCGATGAGAACACATCAGTTTACATGGGAGAAGGGTGAAGGTACGGATGGATGGATAGAAGAGAGATTGGATAAGGTACTCGTAACGGCACCATGGACTGATATACATGGGGGGCCTGGGTTGACAATATCCAAACTCGCAACTCAGATCACTCACCGCTCTTTCTAAACACTAATATAACAGTGCGCGAACAAGGAGGACCGAGGGGTTTTCGTTTCGAGATGGCCTGAGTTCATGATGATGGTTGCAGGGAGGTGGTAGAGACTGCCTGGCAGGATGGAAGGGATAGGGGTTTGCTGAATTGTCAGCAATATTGTGGTGGTAGGCTTATGCAGTGGGGTGGGGATCACTGGAATAAATTTGGTGATCATATAAAGCAGTTGAGAAATGAACAAGATGCACTACGACACCGGAGGGATTCAACTGCTTTGGTTGAGTTTCGGCGGATCGAAGTCATGCTGGGTCAGGTGGAAGTTCAGGAAGATGTGTTTTGGAGGCAGAGGGCTAAGCAGCACTGGCTCCGTGGTGCTGACGCCAACACAAAATTTTATCACAAGTATGCCTCTGCTCATAAACGTAAGAATTATATTTCTAGATTAAAGAATGATGTTGGTGATTGGGTAGAGGGGGATAATATGAAGAGGGTTATTTTGGATTACTATGCAGCTATTTTTGCCTCTTCTGAATCTGTGTGTGAGGATCCCATGTTTGATGATTTTTCTCCCCGTGTGACTCATGAGCAAAATATTGCTTTGTTACGTCCCTATGAATCTGATGAGGTTGGGAGTACTTTATTTGCGATGTTTCCTGATAAGGCACTAGGGCCTGATGGTATGAACTCGGACTTCTATCAGCAGTTTTGGGATATAGTTTGGGGGGGGGGGGGGGGGTGTCTGCTTTTATCATAGATTGCTTGAATTCTGCCACCTTCCCTGAGGGTTTGAACGATACTAATGTGATTTTAATCCCAAAAAAGAATATGCCTGAAACTGTAGCTGATATGAGGCCAATTGCTCTAAGTAATGTGTTGTATAGAATTATGGCAAAGGTAATAGCTAACAGGATGAAATCGCTTATGGGTGACATAATCTCGGAATCGCGAAGTGCTTTTATCCCTAGAAGGCTAATTACTGATAATATTCTTATAGCTGCGGAGGTGGGACATTATTTGAATAGGAAACAGTGTGGTATAATAGGTTGGGGGGCCTTAAAGTTAGATATGGCTAAGGCCTGTGATCGAATGGAATGGCAATTCATGCGAAGAATGTTGGAGGTATGGGGTTTTGTGAACGCTGGATTAATCTAATCATGCATTGTGTTACTACAGTTCAGTATAATATTCTGGTGAATGGTGTTAATAGTGGCAGGTTAATACCGACCCGGGGTCTCAGACAGGGAGATCCGCTTTTCCCATATTTATTCATTATTTGTGCAGAAGGGTTGTCTATGTTATTACAGAGGGCTCAGATGGCTGGCTCTATACATGGGTGTAGAGTGACGCGGGGGCCCCCCGGTATCACATCTATTTTTTTTTTTGCAGATGATAACATGTTGTTCTTTAAAGCAAATACTCAGGAGGCATGTGTGTTAAAGGAGTGTCTGAAACGTTATGAGGAGTTGTCTGGGCAGAAGGTAAATTATCATAAATCCAATATACGTTTCAGTAAAAACACCAGGGAAGAGGACAGGGAGATGGTTGCAGAATGTTTGCAGGTGGATCAGGCGCCCAATTTTGGGAAGTACCTGGGGCTACCCTCTTTTATTGGAAGGAATAAGAGAGTGGTGTTCTCCTATATTGAGGATAAAGTTAAACAAAGGATTGGATCGTGGAACAAGAAATTGCTTTCACAAGTAGGTAAGGAAGTCTTATTGAAAAGTGTGGCGCAATCAATGCCAACCTTTTCAATGAGTGTTTTCTTATTGCCTAACACAGTTTGCATGTCAATTCAGAGGACTATGAACAGGTATTGGTGGGGAAGTGGTGGAGAAAGGGGGATTCACTGGAAAGCCTGGGATAAACTATGTGTCCCTATGAAGTTTGGTGGTTTGGGATTTAAGGATCTCAAAAGCTTTAATTTGGCTATGCTGGGAAAACAAGCATGTCGTTTTCTCACAAACCCCAGCTCCCTGGTTGCAAAGGTTTATAAGGCACGATATTTTCCCGCTACATCTTTTATTGATGCCAAGGTGGGCAGTTGCCCAAGTTATGCCTGGAGGAGTATTATGGCGGCACATGATATGGTTGTTGCAGGGGTACGTAGACGGATTGGGATGGTAAAACAACATTAATCTGGGGATATCCATGGTTACCAGATGATCCTAGTCCCCTCGTTCAGACTGATATGCCTGAGGAACTAAGACATGCTAAAGTTGCAGGTTTAATTGATGACCAGACTAATATGTGGGATCCCCATATCTTGTTAGATTTATTTATTACTGAGGATGTCAATCGTATACTCGGGATCCCTGTAAGCCCTGGTTATGATGAGTCATGGTATTGACCTGGGGACCCTAATGGAATTTATACAGTAAAGAATGCATACAGAAGTATTATGGGTAATTATGAGCATACGCCAGGAGAGTTTGATAGATGGACTAATATGTGGAAAATGAAGGTGCCCCAAAATGGAAGACTTTTCTGTGGAGAGCAGTTTGTGATATCCTACCTACCACTGCTAATTTAATTATGAAAAGAGTGGATGTTGATCCTACATGCCAGATGTGTGGTTTAATGCATGAGAATGTTATGCATGCACTAGTTGCTTATGATTATTCTAAACTTGTTTGGAATATTACAGGCTTACCTGTCACAAATATTATTACAGATTCTTTCCCTGCCTGGCTAACAGCTGCACTTGCAATTTTGACAAAGGAACAGAGTGGTGTTTTGGTGGCGGTTTTATATCATTTATGGCAGAGTCGCAACTCAGCCATGTGGGAAAAAACACTCCCTCACCCCGCCGGTCTATGGAGGAGGGCATCCGCGGCCATGAACTCGTACCGTCAAGCCAATCACCGGCCTCCGCTCTCTGCTCCGCACGAACCAGATATAGGCGTCCACGTCAGGCCAAGGTGTTATGTAGATGCAGGCTACCGGCACGCAACGGGGGAGGCCACCTTCGGTGCGGTGCTACTCTTGTCGGATGGAACGTTTATGGCAGTGCAAAATGGAAGGCTGCCAACTTGCTTCTCACCATTTATGGCGGAAACCTTAGCTTGTAAGGAGGCTCTATCCTGGTTGCTCGAATGGAATATAATGGACGTGGATCTACTCACCGATTGCTTGCAACTCCGGAATGCCATGCGCCAGGAATCAACGATTATAATGTCTTATGCTGGCGTCACAGTGGACCAATGTAGGTCGATGGTGGCTTCGTTTACTTATTGCTCGTTAAGTTATGTTTCTAGACAGGTTAATTCATCTGCACATGTTTTAGCTTCTTTAGCTTTTTCTCAGGACCAGTTCATGTTATGGGATTCAATCCCTCATGACTCTATTGCAGCTTTGCTTCATTAATACAATCAATTATTGTTGGCTTTCAAAAAAAGAAAATCAATCCTTAATACAAAGCGTAAAATCAGCTTAATAACAACACAGAAACACAGAATCATCCTATTAGCCAATTATTATTACTATAATTGCTATTACTATTAATAATAATAATAATAATAATAATAATAATAATAATAATAATAATAATAATAATAATAATAATAAATAATAATAATAATAATAATAATAATAATTCTATACTATAATAATACTATAATAACGAATTAGCCTTACAAAAGGAATTATTCACATACAAAAACCCGGAATCATGCATTCTATTAGCCTTAACGAATTATTATTACTATAATTACTATGCATGTGTAATTCATGGTATTTGGAATCATGCAATAACTATTAGTATTAGTATTTTTTTTTTGAAAGTTACTGGCTCTATTACATTGTAGTATCTGTTCATATACTTTCTCAACCTATTGAAACACAAAGAACCAATAACGCCTCCACTGAGGCTTGAACTCGTAATCTTCCAAATGGAAGTCAAACCCGGGTACCATTAGACCACATAGTCCTGGTATTAGTATTAGTATTTAGTATTTCATAATTAAATAATTAAATTAAATTATTCATTTGTAATTCACTTGCACAAATTCATAGTTATAAATACCTCATTGGTCTTGCTTCTCATTCATTTTCAATCCTCTTCCGGTACTTTTCATACGCTAAACTTTTCAACTTTTCAATATGACTCCCACCTTTAATCTACTTAACCAAATCACTGCTAACTCCACGAATTGGGCGCTACAAGTTCGTCTAATCCGAATGTACGAGCCAACATTCAACAATAACACCTACAATTCTCATACTTTGGAGTATGTGTTTCATGATTCAGAGGTATATTCGTCACTTTTAGTATAGATATATATATAGATTATCTTTTAGTGTGTGTGTATATATATATATATATATATATATATATATATATATATATATATATATATATATATATATATATATATATATATAGATAGATTATTTCATAATATATTCAATACCAATATATATTTTTCTTAATTTTAGTTCACATGCTAATATGTTTGTTATATAACACATATTCATGAATTTCATATTCTATTATAATATAGATCTCCATTAAATTTTTAGTTTTTTGCTAATTTAGGGTACGCGTATACATGCAACCAAAAAAAAAAAAAAAGGCTTAAGTTGATGAATTTAAAAAAAATCTTTTTCGAGGGTCATTTGTACTCCATTAAAAACTTTATCATTTCAACAAATGACATGAGATTCAAAACTACGCGCCACAAATACAAGATCATGTTCATGCATTCTACAAAAGTCTTTCAGTATAACAACAACGACTTTCCAAACATGACAAACATGTTGAAAGCTTTCGATCAGGTCCTACCCAAATTAATACTTTCGAACTATTTGGTAATACTTATTTACGGGGTTCTCATTTCGTTTATCATTTCAAGTATAATATATATATACATATATACATATATATATATATATATATATATATATATATATATATATATATATATATATATATATATATATTAGTTATTGTTATGATGATAAATCTCTATAGATTTGATTGGTTCTGTTGTCTCGATTGAATCTCCACGTATAACCATAATTAATGGATGGGGGACCAAGTTCATCCACTTTGTTCTTTAGGATCATGAGTAAATCATGTTATATTAATCAACTTTACACTTAATCATGGATTATATGTGTTTCCTAATGTGTGTACGCCTTATAACAATCTTTTTTTTTTCTCTTTTCAGAGAGAGACGTTTACCTTGCACATTCTGTGAGCAATATGTTGATCAACTATTACAGCATGTCAACTATGACAACCCTAATCCAGTTGTTTGACTCATTCAGTTTTGTCATGCAAAAATGTACAACATATGAGTGAGTTGCATATGGCTTAAAGTAGAACATATTTTAGTTGTGACACATTGTGCAAAGCCGATGCAGACGTTGGAATACTGGTGATGTACACACACCGAAATTTTTGAATGGCATTAGAGCTTCAGGTGTACCAAACCATTCATTAACTTTAAAAATTGGCTCAACAGTCATGTTGTTAAGAAATGTTGATCATTCAATTGGATTGTGTAATAGTACGTGGTTGGTAATCACCAAGTTAGCAGCCCGTGTAATTGAAACTGAGTTAATGGATGGTGCTAACAAAGGAACAAAAGTGTTGATCCTCAGAATGTCAATGTCACCATCTGATACCAGGTTGCCATTCAAGTTTCAACGAAGACAATTCCCATTGATGTTATCATATGCAATGATTATTAACAAAAGTCAAGGTCAAACATTGTCACATGTAGGATTGTTACTTAAAAAACCAATTTTTGTGCATGATCAGTTGTATGTGGCTGCTTCTCGAGTTAACAACCAAGATGGTCTTAAAATATTGATTGCCAAGAACTCATGTTCCTCTATTACATCAACAACCAACGTGGTGTACCACGAAGTTTTCAATAATTTATAATTTTGTCACTCTTATTTTTCTATATTGTATGTTAAAGTAATTCCTTTATTGTTTCTATTTTCCATTTTATATTTCTGTTCCAACTTTTTATATAGTACATCATCTCTTAAGTTTTTCACACAATTACACAATAAGATGAACAATATTCATCCCGTGCATCGCACGGGTATCATACTAGTATATATATATATATATATATATATATATATATATATATATATATATATATATATATATATATATATATATATATATATATATATATATATATATGGGCGATCAAGTGTAGCCATGTTGTTAGGTGTGGTCATATGGTCAATTACACACCATTAGATTAGATAGATCCAATGAATCACATTAATCAAGATTCTTCCAATATTTTCGCGCACATTCTCCTACCCCGCGAACTGCAAGGGTAAACTCGTCATAGGGCACCGGAATAAGGCAAATCACATTGTTGTGTATTTTATTTATGTAATTGGTGCATTATTAGTCTTACTCTGGTGTATTTGTAGATTCCCATTGGTGCCAAGTTCAGGTGCGGCAACGCCTTCCCGTGTGGTTAGTGCGGCCGCACCAATTGTTATACAAATAAACACCATCCATGTTATGAAATGCATTTACAGCAAAAAAAAAACATACACAAATTAGGTACGCATCACAAAAAACGCGCCATTAGATATGAAAAAATACACCATACAGTGTTCGGAAATATACTATTGGTGTGTTTCATTGTGGTGTATTTTATTACACTATTGGTGCATGTTGTCAACACTGTTGGTGTATTATGGAACCCGGCCGTTATAAATGGCAACTGTAATTACCATAACACCCCCACTTACCAAAACGCGCGAAAATTCTCAGAATTAGCCACTGTCGTTAGATTAAACTTATTCAACGACACAGATATAACCACACAGCCACACCTAATGACATGACCACATATTAGCGCTCTTATATATATATATATATATATATATATATATATATATATATATATACACACACTTGGCAAAGCAAAGCTATGTGACATTAATTAATCACATTACACAGACAAACCAATCCAAACTAGTACACTCAATTAAACCAAACACGGAAATTACAGGATATCAAAAGAGACACTAGACCATATAACAACGCACTTATAATACAAGTCATAACATTGATTTTATAAAATCGTCGTTAAAACATTAAAGCTCTGTTTGGCAAACCTAGCTGAAAAGCTATAAGCTAGGAGCTGAAAGCTGAAAAGGAGTTGAAAGCTGGAAACCTATAAGCTCGGAGCTGAAAACTGAAGAGCTCTTAAGCTAGCTATTATGATTGAAAGTGTTTGGTAAAATTAGCTTGTTGATAGGCTAATAGATGTAAAAAGGCTAAAAAGGACATCTTCATAAAATTTAAATTAGTTTGTTTACATATTAAAATTTAACATTTTGTCTTTAAAAAAAATAACATTTTAAAATAAAACTATTAGCATAATCATGATCTAGCATCTCATAATGAAGTAGCAATATTGTTACGAATCTAATAATAATAATAATAATAATAATAATAATAATAATAATAATAATAATAATAATAATAATAATAATAATAATAATAATAATAATAATAATATTTGCGGTTGTGGATAAAGGAGAAGAGAAAAGGGTTTTAATTGGGAAGGGTAATTATGTAATTTCTTTAAAATAATAAGGATAAAGAAGGAAAAAATTTAAGAAGCTAGGAACTTATTTTGAAACGCTACCTTAGGTAGCGTTCCAAAATAAGCTCTTATTTTATGCTAGAAGCTTATTTTGGAAACATTACCAAACAGAACTTATAGCTTATTAGTAGCTTAAAATAAGCTATAAGCTCCTAAATAAGCCCTGTCAAACAGAGCCTAAATAAAATAATTATTTTAAAAAAAAATTTAACATTGGTTTTTAAAAACAACCGACGTCATTACGGAACTTTTTTTAATTTAAAAACGATAAGATGTTGATTTTTAAAAAAACCAACATAATATAAAAAAAAAAAATTATTTCTATTTTTATTGTTTGCCTATATTGAACATACGACGTCGGTTGTCGTATGTTTATGTTTTTTTTTTTTTTTTTAAAAAATTATATAAGAAACAACGTTGGTTTTCCTAAAAAATCGACACCGTTTTATTTTTAAAATTTTTTAAAAATTATATAAATGACGTCGATTTTCTTGAAAAAATTGACATTTTTTTTTGAAAGGAGCCTGTGCGGCATTTATTCAAAATATGCTGAAATAGCAGTTGGTGGACTTGAGTCCGCATACATAATTGTCGTCTGAGTAGAGGCAATAGATGCTAGAATATGAGCTAAATAATTATCTAATCTAGGAACGTATCGAATTAAACAGTTCTCAAAAGCCAATATACTAGTCCTGCAGCTATCAATAGCATAGCCCAGATAAGACCGTGGTGATCGAGTCGTAGATGATAGATATTGCTGTAGTACTAAACAATCTGTGAAGAGCTGGATAGAGTCTATACCGCGGTTTCTCAACCATGCCAAAACTTCTTTGCACGCTAGAGCCTCCGCCATTAAAGGTGTAAAACAATCTGACATAGGGGTGGTCATTGCGGCAATATACCCTCCTTGCGCATCTAGAATAATTGCACCCGCTGCCGCCTTGCTCGTTCGTGGGTCGTATGCCGCGTCGAAGTAGTACATTAGGGGAGTCCCGTAAGGCACATTCGGCTGCTGTTGCTGTCCGTGTGGCTGCATTATACTGCTGCTCAAAGGCAGCCCAGTTTCTGCCGGTTCGGCAGTGAGACCTACGGCATTTTGCTGCCGTGTGGTTGGGGCTTCTACTTGCTCCATCACGGCCGCATTTACTCGCGGCTGTGTATGCGTCGGGTGCACAATTTTCCAAGAGTGTACAGCTGAAGACGCCATTGCAATTACCTTCTGAGGCCTGGGCAAACATGCGTCCCACACAGCCCCATTCCTCGCACGCCAAGTGTAGTATAGAATTGCCACTGCATAAATAATCTCATTATCACCTAAAACATTCATCAAATCATTAAACCAATCACTGAAAACATTTGTGACACTATTGGGGATTGGAAGGTGAGATTGTATCCAAATGTTTGTTGTATAGCCACATGTGATCAAAGAATGCACAATATCCTCATGTGAAGCCCCACACATAGCACATGTTGGATCAATATCCACTCTCTTTATAAGTAGATTGTTTGTGGTGGGTAAAATATCATTTAGAGCTCTCCATATAAATGTCTTCCACTTCGGTGGGATTTTGAGTTTCCGTAAAACCTTCCATTTATCAATGGTCCCTAGTGGTTGGGAGTAATTGCCCACTAGCCTCCTATACCCATTCTTGACAGAATATTCACCATTTGGATCTCCATACCAGTACCACAAATCATCATACCCAGGTGATACAGGTATTTTTTTAATTCGTTCCACATCCTCCGGTATGAAAATATCTGTTAGAATATCCGGATCTCAGGTTCCAGTTTGTTGATCCATTAAACCCATCACTTTTGCCTGTGCCAATTGGGGTGGTTTTTCTGTTTGTATTCTCGGGTAGTTTTCATCATGCAACCATGGGTGGTCCCAAATCAACGTTGTTTCACCATTCCCAATTCTCCTCCTCACACCCCTACAAATTAACTCCTGAGCCGCCAAAATACTTCGCCAGCAAAAACTCGGGTTATTACCCAAACATGCATCATAGAAAGAATTAGCGGGATAGTACCTGGCCTTATAAACTCTCGAAACTAAAGATCACGGCTGTGTCAGAAAACGCCACCCTTGCTTCCCAAGCATAGTAAGATTAAAGGCATGTAAGTCCTTAAATCCCAAACCTCCATACTTCTTCGGAATACATAGTCTATCCCATGCCTTCCAATGTATACCTTGGTCATTCTTGGATCTCCACCAATATCGATTAATGGTTCGCTCAATAGCGGTGCATAAGGTCATAGGCAGTAAAAACACACTCATTGAAAAGGTAGGCATTGACTGGGCCACACTTTTCAATAAAATTTCCTTTCCTGCTTGTGATATCAATTTCTTATTCCATGAGCTGATCCTCTGTCTTATTTTATCCTCAATATAAGAAAATGCTGCCCTCCTATTTCTGCCCACAAACGATGGAAGTCCTAAATACTTCCCAAAATTCTGAGTCTGCACCACCCCCAATATATTGGCAACCTCATCCCTTATCTCTCCACGTGTATTCTTACTATAACAAATATTTGACTTATGATAATTGACTGCCTGTCCAGACATCTTCTCATATTCTGATAAACATCGCTTAATTACTTCTGCCTCTTGCACATTTGCCTTGAAAAAAAGTAAACTATCGTCGGCAAAGAAAAGATGGGTAATAGAAGGTGCACCTCTTGCAACCCTACAGCCATGTATTTCTCCTTTTGCCTGCGCCTGCTGCAATAATAGTGAGAGCCCTTCAGCACAAATAATGAATAAATATGGTGAAAGGGGACCACCTTGTCTCAAACCACGAGTTGGCATTATCTGTTCACTCTGTGTCCCATTTACTAATACAATATAAGATACTGTGGTTACACACATCATCAGTAATTCCACCCATCTTTCATCAAACCCTAAGGCCATTAACATTCTTTGTAAAAAGGACCATTCCATACGATCGTAGGCTTTGGCCATATCTAGCTTCAAAGCTCCCCAACCCATGAGTCCACATTGTTTCCTGTTCAAATAATGGCCTACTTCTGCTGCTATCAATATATTATCTGTAATCAATCTCCCAGCTATGAATGCACTTTGTGACTCAGATATGACACTTTCCATCAAAGGTTTCATTCTAGCTGTAATAACTTTGGCCATAATTCTGTACACCACATTACTCAATGCAATTGGCCTATAATCAAAAATCATCTCTGGGGTTTTCTTCTTCGGAATCAATATAATATTTGTCTCATTCAATTTACTCGGAAACGAATTAGTATTGAGACAGTTAACAATATAAGCAGAAATATCAGTACCCACCACATCCCAAAAATGCTGATAAAAACCAGGGTTCATCCCATCCGGTCCTGGTGCCTTATCAGGAAACATTGAAAACAATGCTGATTTAATTTCACTTTCTTCAAAAGGGCGCAACAGGCCCTCATTTTGTGCAGCTGTCACACGCGGTTGTATGCTCTCAAAAAAATTGTCATTAATAACAGGAGAATTCGACTCAAAGATATCACGATAATAATGCAAGATACTATTCCTCATGGCATCTCCCTCAATCCAATCCCCATTACTAGTCATAATTCTCATAATAGAATTCTTTTTCTTTCGGTGAGTAGCGTACCTGTGATAAAACTTGGTGTTTGCATCCGCGTTCTTAAGCCAATGTTGCTTGGCTCTCTGTCTCCAGTATGTATCCTCCTGCAACTCAATACTGGTCAGACAGTCCTCTATCCTCTGAAATTCAGCTAGAGACCCCGGGTCTGTACGCCCTCTAACGCGCATCTACTCTTTCTTCAAGTTCCGTATTCTCTCACCGAATTTGTGAAAACGGTCTCCACCCCAGCGTGTTAACCGTTCACCTCAAAACGTGACACATTCCTGCAGCCCCCTACTCCTTCCGTCCTCCCAGGCCTTTTCTACCACACCCCTACATCCTTCATCATGTAACCATGCCATCTCAAATCTAAAACCCCTTCCTAGACCACCTCTCCTTTCCCGAAGATTGAGAATCCCAAGGAAAAGAGCAGAATGATCCGATTTCCGGGTCAATATATTAAGCACACTAGCATCAGGTACAAGATCCCTCCATCCCTGCGTGGTCAGAACCTTATCCAATCGCTCCTCTATCCAGTTTGGTGTACCCTTCCCCTTCTGCCAAGTAAACGGATATCCTGTCATGGGCATCTGCGCCAATCCACATTCCTCGATAGTCTCACCAAACCCTCGCAATAAAGCATCAGGATGCGGATTACCTCCCCGTTTCTCATATTGAAACAAGAGATCATTAAAATCTCCTAACATAACCCACGGTAGGTCAGATTTATTTGCCAGTGTACGAATAAGGTCCCACGATTCCCTTCTCTGCGGACGCTTTGAAAAGCAGTAGAAACCTGTCATCCTCCACTTTTCAAATCCGGGCATACTCACCTCCACGTCTACATAATTATCAGAATAACTCAACAACCTCGCCGTATTATTCGTCCTCCACAATAATGCTAAACCCCCACTCAATCCAGAATTATCAACATTAAACAAACCATCAAATCCAAGTTTAATCCGGAGTCGCTCAGCATGATCCCGGTTAACCTTGGTCTCCATCAGAAATACAAAATCGAGTTTCTTGCGAGACACTATGTCCTCAATCTCCCGAACTGTCCGTGGATTACCCAAGCCACGGCAGTTCCAGCTCAATGTACTCATTGGGTCGGGCAGGTCTGCACCGCAGCACCCGCCATCAGCAAGTTTTTTTGAACCTCTGTCATTGCAACATCCTCCTCCATCACTGGTCTCTCACCCACCCGACTTCCCCTACCATTCGGCTCCCCCAACCCCATACCATCCGAATCCACACACACCCCTTCATCCACTCCATCCCCTAATCCACCGTCCGTGCGTCGTCTTTTTGGGTCCACTCTCACCCCCTCCTCCTCCCTAGCTAACTCCTTCTCCCTCACCAAGCCCAAGTTTCCACCATCCCTCTCGGCTTGTCCCCTAATCTCCACTACCCGTTCCCTCATTCCAGTCATAGGCTGCCCACCAACCGCCGCAATCCCCCAACCGTATCCACCCCCAATACCTATTTCTTTCCGTCTATCTTGGCCCAGCTTGAACCACTTGTCCCCCAAAACCCGTGCCGGGTTATTCCATCCCGCCCTCAAGGCCGTACCAAAGGGGTACTGTTCCGGAGATAACAAAGAACGTCTTGCCGCTAAACAGAACTTATTAGTATGCCCCATGATACCACAAAAGAAACAAAACATATGCAGCCGCTCGTATTTGAAATTAACCCATGTCCATGTCCCATCCTGCATGATCATCTTCATACGACGCTTAAGTGGATTGGTTACATCATGTGTTATCCGTACCCGATAAAACGAGGTCCACGATCTCTCAAAATTACGTTCATCATAGCGTAAGAACACCCACGCAAAATCCCCAATTCGCTCAAGTACCTTAACTGTCCGGTAGCCCAAAGGAATATCATAAACTTGTAACCAGAAGTCCACCGTATTCAAGACCACTTGCTCCGGATCCTGTCCATCATTCAAGACATGGCAAAGAAACGTAGCATTCTCGAACGCCCACGGCCCCTCCTCCACCACGCGGTGCATGTCTGCCGCGTCAAAAAAAGTGAAGAGATACAAGTTTGGAAGCACATCTGTTATCTCTATTCCCATGAGGGGACGCCAAGCCGAGGCCATTACTCTTTTCATCATATCAACCTTCAAGATTCGATCCGTGAGAAACCTCCCGACAATCGTCCACGTTCGGCGTTCCTGCGGCTGCGGACCGACGCCATACCCGTCATCCTCAAACCGTACGCCCTCCTCCTCATCTTCCAAGCTGATATCCGCCGTGGAGTCAATAATTCGCTGAACATCCATGGCTTTCGCACTCTTGTCCGTTGCCGAACTCGAAGAAAGCTGTCGTAACCCTAGATCGCAGGGAGCTTATCGCAGAAAACCCTAGTCGCAGGGAGAGAAACGATGTCAACGTATGTATACGGAAGTGAAAAAATTGACATTGTTTATCTAATTTTTTATTTTTTTTTAAAGAACAATACATAAGAAACAACGTCGATTTTCCAAGTCTAAAGCGTTGAAAAAAATTTGTGATAGAGCTCTAAAATAAACAATAACATGTTCTTTTTGAATTCATGATAAAACCTTTTCCCCGTCATTTTTCCAACTCAAATAGGTCTACTTTGAGAATCAATATCTCATTTGCCCATTATCCGTTTTGAGCGTACAATATATGAATCTTTTCGTATCATTACGAAGAAGATGAATCAACTTTGACCCGACCCAAATTGGAAAGTGAACCCACTAATAATTGTTCCACAAAATAATTACTTAAAATTCTATTTTATGCTATTTTTCCAACATATTAAACTAGGGAAAATACTGAATATCTGAAATATTATTTTTCAATGCACTGGGAATCAAAATTAGAGTAATGTTGAAGTACATTAATTTCATATAAATATGAAACTAAGGAAAATACTGTATATTGTAAGAATAACTCAAGTTAGAGATAATATGAGATAAAGAACAATTGCGGCAAACAACAAAAGTGCAAATTAGAGAACAATCCATAAAGGAATCATATTTAAGAGAGACACCAGTGAGAATAAGAGTTGAAAGGCCGAAGGGACTTGAATTTACTTCATTATTATTATTATTATTATTATTATTATTATTATTATTATTATTATTATTATTATTATTATTATAATTATTATTATTATTACTAGTAATTCAACCGCGCGATGCACGGGGAAAAATTATGTTATTATAAATATAAATAAAAAATAGAAAAAATAAAAATATTTTAAATTATTTAATATAATCATATTTTGAGCTTCCATTGGTCAAGTATTTATTATTTTTATAGAATACAAAATTACAATTAAAATTAAAATTAAAATTTTGTATGGTTAATATAATCTCTAATTATTTACATATTCAAATAAACTTATAGAGAGAATTTACATAATTACATTGATTTATTCTTAATTGTATTTCATCTATATTATAATTTTCACAATACGAATAATAACTAAGATAATTACATTTAGAAAGAAAATTTTAAATTTTGTATGAGTAAATTTAAACTCTAATTGAACACATTTTTTTATATGATTATATAATATATTCTTTATGCACATGTCATTCTATAAGTCCAAGACCACTTTTTGTGGAGATAAATCAAATATACTTTTTTTCTTTTAAAAGTCCTAAGTTTAGAAATCCAGAAAAACATTAAAGACCCATACGATATATACATTTATATATATTTAAATTTTTATTTATGGCTCAAATGATTTTTTTTTTTAAATTCTGAAGTCCAATAATTGACCCATGGCCCGCAGCATTTGCTTTTTCCATCCCTTCTCGATTCTGCCATTTCTTTGAAACATTTGAGAGGGAGGAAAATTATATTTAGAGGCTTGCATTAATTGCACTGTTTCAGATATCGAATAGGCTTTCATCGAAAATTTAATTAATATTGTAATCTCAAGAAGCACCATAAATAACAAAAGCATATCAAATAGACTTTCATTGTAAAGTCAAAGATTTAATTAATATTGCATCGTTTCATATTTTCTATTAATCGGGAATCGGAATCCTTAATCATAATATCATAACATTTAATAACTTCATTAATTCAATAAATGTAATCATTTGTTATGGGCTAGAAAAAAATAGCTATTTTATTTTTCAAATGTTGTGTTTTTTTTTTTTTTTTGTTTTTTTAGTAAAGGATGTTGTGGCTATTTTATATTAATAAGGATAGAGACAATGATCATAACAATAATTACTCACCAAAATAATAATTGTAACATTAATTACTTCCCAAACCATATAGCTTTATTATAGTTAAGATTATTAAAAAGAAAAAAAGGAAAAAAAAAAACAAACAAATGAACGGTACTTTGGTTCGGTTCGGTTCGATTTGATTTTTTACCAAACTGTTCGATACACAAGAATTCATTACCGTTCGACTATTCGGTATATTACTGAACTGAATTAGTTTGATTTGGTTCGAGAAAACCGAACCAAATTGCGAACCCCTAAAATTTACTATTATATCTTTAACATAATGTGTCGTATTGTCATCTATGCATTTGGAACTTGGCCTTGAAAACAATTCATCCATTCCGATCTAGTCCTAGGCCCACTGCAAATCTAAAAAAAGTTAAAATAAAATAGTAGTATAATATTACTGAAAGATTTCTATTATATGTACTCTCAATTCTTACCCTCTCAATTTTATTTCATGTCATGATGGACACTAATATACTCTCCATGTAATAGGCACTGATAAGTTTGGTTTTTTTTTTTCGTGTGGATCTTATTATAAGTGGTCTACATCAAGATTTTATGTCTGAGGTAAAATTTGACAGTAGAGAATAAGAGTACACACATAGTTCTCTCCTTACTGAAATACAGGACAACCTTGAACTACAATGCCAGGTGCAGTAGGGCAACTAGCCAAAGGGCAATGATCATCCAACTCCAAACCCCACCACTTTGGTCCATTGATACCCCCACTCTGCAAAGTAAAATAGCAAAGAATTGCCATGAATGCCACCCCTGCATCCAACCCAGCCGATAATATGTAGTTGTGCCTAGCCCACCACCCCTTGTGTTTCTTATACACATACAAATTGAAATACAACCCCACTGCAAACCAACACACATAGTTCACAGATTTCACTATAGGTATCCCTCCTGCCCCAGATATCAAAATTGGCATGTTGATCAGGCTAATCCATTTCTTCTCCGGGTACTTTCGCCCTAGATACCAAACCGGTATGGGCGCGAGAAACCCAACGAGGAAGAAGTAGTTGACTGCCTGGTATACCCCGAGGTTACCAAACATCCGCCTTGGGCTCACCACTCCCCATATGATCGATGCATTGTAGAAAACATCATCCCCCGGGCACGTCCATTGGCTTCCCACGGGTAGCTTTGATGGGTTGCATATGTTTTCCACTGTTGTCAAGAGCCACCAACCAGTGCCAAAATGCACACAGCATGATATTAGTGTTCCCACTAGCTGGACCATGAACATAGATCTTGGAGGGATTTTCATGTAGTGGCCTAGCTTGAAATCTGATAAGAACATAAGGGATTGTGACAGGCTACTGAAACCGTACATCTTGAAAGTCACATTAGCCAAAGGTCTCCCAGGATACATGTAACCAATGATAAGTTCTGCAATTACATTCAGCCCTGCTTGCTGCACAATCAAGATTTTCCACCAACTTGATTGAACAATGCTAATAATTTCAGAGCTGATAGTTAAATTGCACATTTATGTTTATATATTAGATGGTCAACGTGCATATACCAAATTGAAGCATGTGATTCTACATTTATGTTTATATATTATATGTTCAACATATAGCGTTGTGTTACCTGATTTGTAGTTGCTACTATCACTCCAACAGGAAGGGTGAAGAATAAAGATAGTAACACTGCTAACAGTACACCCCAGAAAGGAAGCTGCAGTTGTCCCCCAAACCCTTGGCAGGCTACTAGTGCCACTCCAACAACGATTACTAAGAGCAAGTAAAACAACCATTGAGGCACATGTTTATAGTTTTTCCTCATCAACCTTGTATGGATGTCGCTAAACTTGTCCTGCACAGACGCCTTTGTTTGCTCCCAAATTGTTCTGCAAATCCATTATATATATTGAGATATAGTTGAGCAATGTTTAGCAAAGGGACAAGTCCAACACCAAGTGGTTTCTAAGGAATAGCTAGGCGAAGGCCTGAAGGGGTAAGTCTAACACACTGCCTCTAAAAAATATGGCAGGTAAATATAAGAAAATAAAGATGCGCATTTGCGCTACTAGCTATTGTTGGCATAGGTGAAGGGTCTTTTGCGCGGAGGCCCGAAGGGCCAAGTGCAACACCCTACCTCTTGAAAATGTGATGGTAAAGGAAATAAAGTTGTGCCTTTGCTAGCAGCTATAGCTTCTGGTGTAGTGATATATGTTTGATCCTAACACATTCGTTCTGGATATTGTTCCCGAACCAATAAATTAAAAGAAATGGAGGGGATTAAAATACCTACCTGCCATGGAAGAGTGCAACATGGGAAACAATTGCAGCCAGGGTTGCAAAGCTGAGACCATAAGTATACGCAAAAGTTGTGCTCAAATAAATGTTACTGTAACTATCATACCCTTGCTGGTCAAATTCAAAGGTTTTCTTATTCAACACTCTGGAAATGTTGTACACATGTCCATTGGAATCAAAAACATGAGACGAGAAGAGAGGGAACTTTTTAGCTTCAAACAAGTTAGTCCAATAGCAAACTGGTATGGCTATGTAAGCAACCAGTATGTAACCAATCAACATGTTGATGATGGCGAAACCCGGGGTGGCGAGTGGACTGCCTTGGAAGGCAGCCACGGTTGCCCAATCGAGGGCAAACGAGCCAATGCCTAGGCCTTTTAAGCCTGAGCCTAGCTGTTGCGCGGTTATAGAATCCTTCCATATCCAACAGAGGAGTGATAGGGCAGTTATGGATGGGAAAAGGTAGTTGGGCACAACATAATAGGCGAAGCTGCAGACAAGAACTATGATGAAGAATTGCAGCCTAGTTAGCCCTCCTTTTGGCCTGGTTTCAACGTCATGTAACGCTCTAAAGAGGGAGACTTGAACAAGATTTGAAGGCCACCACATGTAGGGCGAATCAATGAGAATTTTTTTGAAGATGCCAGCCAACCCATATCCAAGCATCTACAAATCCACAATATACTACTTTAGCATAAGCGTTTGACAAATATATTAAAGAAAAGATTAAAAATCTATTTGGAGGAAATTAGGCTAATTATGTGAAAATAAAGAATGTTTTCTGTCATATAACCACTAGCATCAATCGTTATACCGTGCACTAGGGCGCACTATGTGCCCCGCGCCTCCAAAACGACGTCGTTTTGTTAAGTTGTTAAAAAAAAATCCTATGTTTCAATTGCACATAAACTCATAACAGAATACACATAAACTCATAACAGAATACACATAATCTACATAATACATAATACACATAAACATTTAAATGAATACACATAATGGAGTTTGGTTAACATAATACACATAAACTCTTACTGAATACACATAAACTCATTACACAATATACATAAACTTTTGACTAAATACACATAATGGGATTTGGTTAACATAATACACATAAACTCATAACACAATACACATAAATATTTAACTGAATACACATAATGAGGTTTGGTCTGTTTGGATGGACGGAGTGATATCAGTATGACATCAGCATGAAACACGTGCGTTTTGTGCCTGGGTGCACATTTCTATGCGCACCGTGGTGCGCGATATAAATTGCCCCACTAGCATAGAAGAGAATTTTCCACTACCAATGCAGGCTCATAGCAACGGTGTCGTCTCTAATGTTAACACAACAATCCCTGTCTCTGTGCACCCGGATCAGGGATTAAAACTTTTACTGTATACTCTGATTAATAAAGGAAGGGACCAGAAAGAGATTAGACAATTTCTGTTTGATTTCTGAACGTATGTAGTATAAGCCACATATTATCATAATGAGTAATGTAAGAGAGTAGAGACCCTAATATTTTTCTCTCTAATCCATCCCTCATGACATAATAGCTAGCATCTAATTGGTAGACAAATTTGATTTTAAATTAGTGATGGGTTCAACCAATTCATGACACCAATAAATGGAAATGACACCAATAAATGGAAGCCACATAGGAGGGAAATATTAAAAGGGAAATTTAAAAGGGAAAAAAGAATTTTCCTATTATAATAGATTTGGCCACTCACCAACTTATAGTGAATATTAAAACAAGACTAAATCACGAGAATATTTTTTTTTTGAAGGTATCACCAGAATATTTGAGAACCACAAAAATTTCATTTTCCCAACAAAATCAACCAAAGAACATAGTCTATATATCATAGATACCTGAGTGCTGAATGTCAACAACAATGCTGCAAGGGGATGAATATCGCGGTGGTAAAAAGCTTTCATCATGGTGATGATACGCACTGCAAAAGATGAATCGGAACCCGAACTGGCAAATATGGTGATCAGTACGTGCTCTTTAATATTAAATGGCCCTGGATTCAAAGAAAACGACCATTTTGTGCCTGGCATTTGGACCACTTTTGTAGGCAAATATGCTGCCATGAGCTTCCCCATGGGCAGCACAACAATCTGAGCAGGAACAGACGAGAGAGAAAGCGCGTTTTGGCGATACCCAAAGAACTGATTCAGGAACGCCAAAATCACACAAGATGTCACGCCCAAAACCCATGTCCGAAATGTCACACATGGCATAGTTGGATCGTCCGTTATTGGAACTGTGAGCCGCACTTCCTCGATTGGGGAATCATTTATTTCATCTGCACATAATAATTCTTGATCTCATTGCCAATAATACAGCACGTACAGCTAAATATAAGAACAAAAATGCATGCATGAATGGAATATATATTGGCGTTTTTCTGTCAGCTATGGTCAATCTAAACTGATTTATCTGATCTTCTTGTGGTCTTTTGTCCGCTAGGGTCACAAGGTGAAGTTTATCAAGTGTACACTTTGGGATTGTGACTTTCTTCGTCACCCACAAAAAAAAAAAAAAAAAAAAAAAAAAAAAATGCATGCAGGAAAAGGAGAAATGGAGGTTTACCAGCAGAGGATTCAACAGCAATCCCAGTTTTCTCCATTTAGAGTAACAACCTTAACAAGCTAGAGTTTTTGAAAGAGGAGGATACTATATCATATCATGGGGGGCGGGTTGAAGGGAATCCGTTAAGGTTTGTGTCCCTGAGATTCCAATTACGCACTCTTTCCCCTGTTTTGAATGCAGGCCAATTCTTGGAATGAAGAGAGAGTATAAAGTTGGTGAAGAAAAAGTTACAACGGTTGAGACAAGGAGGTCTTTGCCTGACTAGCTAACATTAAACAGAAAATGATAATTCAATTAAAAAAAAAAAAAACTGAATTTGTATTATATATTTACACAGCTATGTATACGTCCCTATATATTTGGCTATTATTGGATGATTGGATCTTTAATTTATGTAAAACCAAATATACTACTTTGTTAAGATTCCTTGTACTATATATATTCTCAAATTATTGATGTGGTCAACAAGGATAGACTATTTTTATCATGTAGTTAAGTTTCCGGACAAGTCTTCACATTAAGAGCCACACGCTTAACTCATTGGTTCAGTAGACAGTATTTAGGAAAAGATCAAGACAAATGTTCGAACCTCGACAGCGGCTGTGTGGGGATTATGTCCAAAGTGGACAGATCCCTTATGAGCTCCGGCATTTGGTTTTGCCTGATCTGCTTAGCCATTGAGTCACCCTAATTTACATCCTTCCAAATATTTTGTCAAACCGTGACGTGGGGGACCCTTGAAATTAGGAATTCAACCTTTTAGAAGAAGAAGTATTCACATCAAGAATTTGAGAATAAGAGTAGAAAATGAGGGTCTATATAGTATTTTTCGTTTGTTAATTTACACATGCATAACACTACTAGCTAGAGTACACTTGACAATTTACGCTATTTTTTTTTTCTAATTCATAAGAGAAATTCATCTTTTAAATTATTAATGTTCACTTTTATATTAATTTAATAACTTGAGACAATTGGTAAGCTGATTATATTAAGTTCATAAAGTTAGAGGTTTAAATTTTGTAATGCTATATTATTTAAATCATAATTTTTATATAAATTTTTAAAATTTTAGAAACATATATGTAATTGGACTTGAATAAACAAGCGGACATGATTCTATATTATCGTTTATTAATTTACAAAATAACGTTCAATAGTATATGTTCAACCAGACCTTTCATATAGAAAGTAACAACACTTGGTGCCACCATTATAGATTTGAAGGTTTGTATTAATATATTGATACTATTTCTAATTTAAATTTTGTATTAATATAGATTTTTAAATATTATTATCAAATATTACAATTAACAATGAAAAGATAAAAACACACAAACAAACGAAATGCCAATATTGGTCCAAAGTTTGGACTCCAAACCGCATGGACGTACTCAAGAAAACTAACTAAACCATGATTGAAATAGAAATCTCTAGATCAGAATTGTACATTAATAAAGAGGACTTTTGTAATCAGTTGAGTAAACTATGCAATAAAGGCAATTTTTTTAGAACAATAAAGGCAATTAATAACAATAAAGACGTAGAGCTTTTCAACGGACACTTTTGCATATCTTATTGAAGAATACACACAAGCCGAATGAAGAGCAGTATGATCAAGCCAAATCATAATCAAGGGCGTTTATGTACTTTGCTTTCTTGATTAGTTTGGTTAGTTTCAACGGTTTTTACCGCCTCTTTCCTCTGTATATAATCTTGGCTCTTCATTCCAGTAAGACTAATGAAACAGAAACTTATCTTCCTTACTTGCATAAGCCTCTTCGCAACCTTCGTTCACTTTTCCGATATATCTCCGAGATTAGTCAAGTTGGGAGAAGAGATTAGTCAAGTCAATTATACAATAAATGCAGTTGCACACTTTTAGTTAGACCATAAGATGTCCTGAATAGACTTCAATTATAAGAGACACATTTAAGCTTGTATCATATTCAAACTATTCTCCGTTCATACCGGGTTAGCCCAATTAAAGGTCAAAGTGCTGGTTATATTAATTTTTTCATACAAGAGGAGATTTTGAACACCCGAGTCATGTCCTCCCTTAAAAGGAAAGAGAATAAATGACCATTCACATCAATCAAGCTGGTTATCACCCCTTAGTATTTTGGATACTAAAAGGGAGAGGTATATCAATTTTGCCTCCACCAGTCATTTACTTGTCTCAGATGGTTTATTACCAGTTAAATTGTATGAATATAAGGCAGTTGATTTTAGCAAGTAAAAATGAAATAAATACAAGAAGAAAAAGATGAGAGGTGATACCACCCCTAAGTATGTAATCCCTACTTAGAAGGAATCTAACAGATCAGCCACATTTTTCATTCCCATTAATCACTTGTTAATTTTATTATTTTTTTTGGTAGAGGGGAGGGACCAAAGGGTCCCGGGAATTAATATAATGAAGCCTAGTTGAAGAGACGCTGTAAGCATCACGTTCCAGAAGATCTCTTAAGCCATCGGGGGATCCTCCAATATGGTAGTGCCCAAGGGAATTGTTTAACCCGAGTTGGCGAGTAAGTCTGCATATTGATTGGCTTCCCGATAAACATGCTTTAGCGTTATGGTCCGAAACTGGGTCATGAGAATTTTGCAGTCCAAAATTAACGTGTCTGCCTCCAAAGCATGAATCATAGCTTCGGAATCTGTTTCCACCATAATGTTGTTCAAACTCCGGACTTTAGCAAGCTGTAAACCTTCCCTAAGCCCCCAGAGCTCTTAATCACTTCTTAATAGAAAAAAATAAAATAAAATAAGAGTTAATTAAGCTAATCCTCTTCATTCCATCAACAAAAGAGATCCTTTAATTTGCTACACTTACGCGTATTCAGCAGATGAAAAACTATCTTTCAAAAAAAAAAAAAAAAAAAACTAAATAAAATAAAATGAAATTTGTTTGACAAATGGACTCCTCTGTCAGTTTGTGGCAGTTTTATTTGTGTCATATGTTTTTTGAAAGAATATATAGAGAATCACAAGAATTTTACAAATCAACAAACATTTCCTGTCACCTCTTTTAGTTAGAAGCTTGAATTAAATGGTAATACATCAGCTTTTTAAGAAATGGTGCTATTTGGTTTTTTGGAAATCAATATTACACTACACCAAAAAGGTTATTTAGTGCCAGCTATATTGTTGTTTAGCGAATTAGCGAGAGTTCATAACCGCCATGATACTGAGTCATACTGCGGTAATTCTTCATTCGTAATTAAATAATGTGTCGCAAAGAATTTAAAGACGATTTTCTACAATCCAATCATAGAAATTATTGACCAGTAGTATTGCATTTAGCAGTGATTTCATAATTGTCATTAACAATGAGGTACCTCACTTTGTGAAACCACCTCTAAATATATCTATTTGTATATTCTTTTAAATAATAGTGGCAGTTATAATCGCTAAATATATCTATTTATTTATTATTAGCGGTGGTTCGCGATGAAATATTTTTCTTTATTTATTTCTTAAAATATTAGTGGTGGTTATTAAGATATGGTTTAGATCGTTTATGTATTTTAATGTTGTCATGGCTTGAATTTGTGCAAATAATTGCTCAAATTAATAGCTAATGTCTAGATGTACGTATGCAGTGCAATAACTTTGAAGATTTTATTTATCATTATTTATTATTTTCATAAATTAGGCAAATGTGCTCGTTCTCTAACAACTCAGTTATAGGCCGGAATGAATTGATATCCTAATTCATTTGTATGGAAGATATATTTTTTTTGTCTAGATAAATAGCAATTTTTTCATTTAAAAAAATATAATATCACCGATTATATTTACAGATTATTTGAACCTTTTTGTAGATGACATTGGTAGTGGCAACACAATCTTGTCCATCCTCGTCTAGAGTTGCTAACACCTTCAGTCCATCAGGACCGGTTACTCGGGTGAAAATATATAATGGTAGAATATCACTAATTCATCCTTTTATATTTTCAGTCAATTAGTAATAATATAATATCATATTCATTTTTAGCCAATTATTCTTTTCTTTTTTATTTTCAGTCAATTAGGATACAAATGCAGTGATATTTTTTCTTAATTTTTAATTGATGATGTAGATATTATTATTGAAATATTTCCGTTCCATTTTTTATTTTTATTTACTATTGTTTAAAATATGCATTTACTATTGATGATGCAGAATATTAATTTTGAAATATTTTCGTTCACTTTTTAATTTCCGTTCCATTTTTAATTAAAATTCAATGATCTCACCATTTCATTTTTTTTATTTTAGTCAATTATGGATCATTTTTTATTTGTAGTCAATTATTAATATTAATTTCCCTTTATATTTTCAGTCAATTAGTAATATTAGATTCATTTCAACCAATTATTCTTTTTTTTTTCTTTCTGTCAATTAGTCAATTAGAATATAGATTCAGTGATATTTTTACCTAATTTCCATTTCATTTTTATTTGATGATGTAGAATATTATTATTGAAATATTTCCGTTTCATTTTTAATTTTCGTTCGATTTTTAATTTACCTTAACTATTTTTTTAAATATGCCTTTACTATTGATGATGTAGAATATTATTATTCAAATATTTCATTTCCATTTTTAATTTTTCTTTACTTGATGACATAGAATATTATTATTGAAATATTTCCGTTGCATTTTTAATTTTTGTTCCATTGTTTGAAATTGTGAAAGATTTATGATATAATTGTGATTTGATTTATTCTACTGTGTAATATTATTGTGAAAAATTAAAATGCAATAATTTGACCATTTTCTTTTCTATTTTAGTTAATTATGGATCATTTTTTATTTTCAGTCAATTATTAATATTCATTTCCTTTTCCAATTAACATAATTTCCATTTCTTTTTTCATTTTTAATTTTCAGTCAATTATTAATATTCATTTCATTTTCCAATTTACATAATTCTCGTTCCGTTTTCAATTGATGATGTAGGATATTATTGTGACATATTTCTATTCATTTTTTAGTTTATCTTCCTTTTTTAATTTACCTTTATTATTTACTATTGTTTGGGCGGAAAATCAAGTAAATAGGATT